CCGATGGTCAATCGCCAACGACATCGAGTTCAACGTTTCCAAATGCAGAGTTATTTCCATGCGGCATAAGACTCGTTTCTCCTATGTTCTGGGGAACGAAATACTACCGCATGCCACTGATGAAGGGGATTTGGGAGTTATGGTACAGGAGGACGTAGGATGTTCCACGTACTGTGCCAAAGCATCATCTATGGCTCTAAAGCAAGTTGGACTACTCAGACTTGTTTTCGGGCAGTTCGAACGAGCACTGTTTCCACGCTTGTTATCAGCGTTCGTTCGGCCACACNCAAGTATGGAATCCATGGTTGAACCGCGACAGGAAGACTCTAGAACGTCCGCAAAGGCTGGCAACGAAATTGGTAAAAGGTCTTTATAACAGGACACTCCGAAAGACTGCAAATATTGGGACTCTACTCACCCCAATACCGCCGACTTCGAGGGGACCTAATATTGGCATATCACATACTGCATCAACCCAACCACCCTTGCCGTTCTCTGCTGACTTTATCTCATAATGATCACCTCAGGGAACATCGACTAAATGTGAAGGCACAGAATAGTCACCTTGATTGCCGGCCTCACTCGTTTGCAGTCAGAGTGTGCGGCGTATTGAATTCTCTCCTATCTGATATAGTATGTGCTCCTACAGTTGAACTATTTAAATCGCAACTTGATAAAGCATTGGAACACTTAAAATTTCAACATCCGTGAGTGGTTATGCACACTATTATCATTGTTATCTCTTTGTGAAGTTTTTCGAAAGATTCTATAAAAATCCTATGGGGTATGATAGGCTTTAGCTTTGTTAAATCGCCCATAATGAAACTTTGACTTTGAGTTTGACAAAGTGTTTTAGGGCACACAGAGGGTGTTTTGCAGACGAATGCCCACCGCTTCTGCCGTAGCCAACATCCGACAGCGAACGTGCTTCGATAATCGCCCATGTTTTTCGTTCAGGAGTCGGAAAGCCACGCACACGTTCACGGTGTGGTTTGTTTCAGCTAGGTATGAAACCACTGCACTGGTGAGTGACCTAATCGTTCCGGTATTCAGTCACGCGGGGTGATGTGCACGAATCCGTTCAGTACGGAGCTCTTATTATAGCGTATCGTCACTGCATATCTTTCTTGCCCTATTCGCTAGACAGTGTGTATAGTACACAGTCTTCGATAGATGATTGTAACTGTTTTCAAACTTCGCCATGAATAAATCCGCGAAAAAACGTTCCCAGCGGAGACCCCATGGCTACGCCATCCTTTTGTCGATAGATCTCCTCGTTAAACTTGAACTGAACATTATACGTGCAGAAATAAAGCAGTTGTTTAAGGTCATCCAAAGGGAGGCCGAGCTCCACATTATTGGTTCGTAAATAACTGCACAGGTATTCAATCGTTTCGCTGATGGGAACATTTGTGAATGACGAGCTGACGTTCAGCGAGAGCATTGTTCGATCGACCAAGTTTATGTCACGAATTTTTTCCACAAGAGTAAATGTATCTTGGACATAGTGTTTTGCCAAACTAACTCGAACGGGTTCTAACAATTTGGCCAACCACTTTACCAAGACATGATATGGTGAGTTGCACATATCCAAAATCGGTCGTAATGACACTCCATCTTTGTACTTTTGGCAATCCATACAACCTCGAAATAACAGTCCCGGTTGGCCTAATACGTTCGAAAAGGGATGCATCAATGACTCCTCTCTGCTTTAAGCATCGCAAAATCTCGGAAAGCGCCCCCTCTATTTGAGCCGTCTTATCCTTTTCCGTCAACTTGGTGAATTTCGACCGATCACCCAATATGGTATTCATCTTGTCTATGTATTCTGTTAAGTACAGGTGTATTAGAAATTCTCATGTGCCAAATAGTCAGGTTCTCAAACGTCCCACATCGAATTCTCAATCTCACTGCTGCAGACGACCAGTAGTTAAAAGTTACTGGTCATTAGCGCAGATTTTTTTTCGGTTGAGCCAAATCTGGTACACCAATGACTATCTGTCTCATTCGCGCCAAGTAGGCTGGCCTCAGAAAATCTCGCTGCGGTCTACCGAGCAGTCAACGCATAGATGCCCTTGCGTGTTCACGGGTCTGAGTTATACTGTGCGCGTGAGCGCCTGTGCACCAGAGAACGGTTCAGGCTACTCAGAACCGTGCACAATTGACCTGTAATTTTTAACTACTGGTTGCCTGTATCAGTGAAACCGAGGATTTGGTGTTCGTTAATTCCCTGATATACTGATATATCCAATGAAAAATGCATTTTTGCTCTTATGTAATCGAGTAGTAAGAAGCAGCGATCAGCGCTTGTGTATTTTTTGCATTGTTAAGCGTTAGTTCATCTATGTTCCGTTCTGCGTGGATGGTATTGTCATAACGAACACAGGCTCCATCTCATCATAATACAATTCGAATGTACAACTTTATGGAATCCAGCGGTTCAGTTAAAATTATCATATCCACTTATTCATCTTTGCTTACTCATTGAATTGTGCATATTATTGTTTTGAAATTCTGTTCGAAAAGCCAGGTTCTCTTGAATTATTAAAAAAAAGATTTTGTTCACTCAGGGAATTCGTTTTCCAATAATCTGTTTTGAATTAACTATTGTGCTTCCCATAGTGCCATCGTTTTCAACATAGATAACAAAGGCGTTGTTTACATTTCAACATACTTCATAAATATCACAAGTTGCGCATTGATTTTTAGATTAAATTCGAACATCGTTTTGATACAATTAACAATATTCATTTTCCTCATATTTACACATTTAAATATTCCAAAAGAGTGGAGATAAATTACGGAGGAAAGTGTACCTTTTTTAAAGCTGTGAAACTTCCAGATATTATATATGTACGTTGTACTTTCTTCGGTCAATAATACATTTTCATTGTAATTATTTTCTAAGTTCGCCACACCACGAGAAATTTATCATCTGCCAATTAGTACTGTAGATATTGTAAGGTATCTCGATGCTCTATATCATATCAGATTACACTGAAATAAAATCTCACATAAAGGTATTCGATCGATTTTCAACACCCTTACTTAATAATCGGTGAATCAGAATACTTAGATGGTTGAGCTTCGATATATTGTTAAACCAAAAGCGAGGTGTGATGCGTCACCCGAAACCAGAATATAGGACACTGTTTTCACTTTTTGTTGGTTCCCGCCACATGTAAAAAAGGCCCTATTTATGATCGACAGTTTTAAGCTTGATTGTGTTAGCACGTAGTTTTACCACTAAAAAAAGTATGTTGCACTCTCTGTCTCCGTGTTATGTGGGACTGTATGATACCTGTGAATAGAAGATAAGAATATACTCGATGAGTTGAGCAAATCATTTCGAAATGATTGACTCGGGTTACATCAAGGTCGTTTCTAACGGTTTAAATTCTTTGAATTCATTATCCATTGTTCTGGCATAGCATCTGTTGAATGAAATTCGATTCGAAAACAGAAAAAAAACATTTCGCAATCTGTTTTTGCTCCATTGACGTTTGAACCTATCGTTAGGAGTTTTCTGATCAAACAACCAATCCGATTGGTGCATTCAACTCGGCCACGTATTTGTCAAACAGGAATACTTGTAAGCATATGCTAGGGAAAAGCGCGCCTATATTCTACCGCCGTAAACGATGCTGGTCGCATCTGACGCTTATTTCTTAGCCATTGATGTCACCGGTGGTATACTACTGGTCTGTGGCTTCCTATTCAACCTACTTGGTTTCCTCCTATTCCGCCAAGTAAATATTCGTTCTGTTGCTTCTCGTTATTTGCTCGCGGCACAGTACATGTTTGACGCGGCCGGTTGTATAGTGATATTTCTTTATCTTATCACTTACAACCTGGACATTGTTCGCGCGCGCTTTGTCTACACATGGTTCTGTTCGATTTGGCTGAGCCATTATCTGTTCTGGTTGGCGAACGGTCTCAGTGCAACCAATATGGTACTACTCTCACTTGATCGATATTGGGCAGTGGTTTGGGCCATATCTTATCCGAAAAAACCCAAACACTACGTTCCCGTACTGGTTGGAGCCACGTGGATTTTTTCCATTGTTTTTACCATCCCGTTACTTCGAAACAATATGTGCTTTCCGACTGTGTTGAATGGGACTATTCAACCGTTTGAGACGGATCCCAATCTGAATGTGATCGGTTTTGTTTTCGGCTATGCGATTCCCAGTTTGGTACTGTGCGTTTTACAATTTCGCACTCTGTTCGCGATTAGACGTTTGAAACGGTCCTGTAATCTGACCAGACCGGACCAGGACAATGCCAGTTTGGATCCAAATCTGCTGGTCATTTCGGTGGCAACAACCATACTGACAACGGTGTATTCTGTCAGTCGGGGATACACTCAGTTGATTGCTCTCATTCGTTCATTTGGTGTTCACATTCACGTGTTTGAAGGTGACTGGGAACGACCGTATTACATTGTGTACGGATTGAATTTTTTGGTTGAACCACTAGCTCTCACCCTATCTATGCCCAGTGTACGAATGCTGATCTCTAAGCAATGGAGGGCAGTGTTTAAATCAAAACAGAACTCGAATGCAAACTAATAACTATGAATAAAGTGCCCTTCCTGCTTTTCTTCACCGCATTGTCTACAAACCTGTCGATAAATCAACCGGACAAGAGAATTCGGGCGACACAGGATTCAATCATTCCCTGTGATCGAAAAAATCGGGACACTTGGGCGGATCGAACAAAGTCAATCTGTACTGTCCACAAGCTCAGTCATAATTTCAACAACGGAAATAAACCACTAGGTTGGCAGACGGTCAGTCAGTCGGTCGGTCAATGGATGCCACGTGGATCGAGAGGGAGAGGGGAATAGAAACGAAATAAGTTGGAATGAAAAGGTAATGAATTGAATGCTTGATGCATTCCGAAACCCGTTCCGTTATACTCTGTCACAAATTAGACAGGGTAATGACATTCGGGACCCCATTTACCAGTTTCCTGGAATGTCGTTGCGCTTTTATAGGATTGATATTATTTCCTGAGTTAAGAATTTTTGTTTATGAAAGATTCCTACGCTGTTGTGATACTTATTTCTAT